TAAAATGGTGTTGCACTTCTATGCTGGAACTATTATCTGGCAGCCGGAGTGACAGAAATGGATGGAGTACTGGAAACTATAAACATTCTCTCAGAAGAGAAACCATATTATTTTGTGTGTGTGTGTGTGTGTGTGTGTGTGTGTGTGTATTTCCCCACTTCTCTACCTTCCTTCCTTGTAAATTTATTTTGAATGCTCATGAAACAAATTCCCCTTAGGTGCCCAGACCAAAAATTCCTCTGGATAGTATTAAAACACCAGATATCCACCTTTCCCGAAATATAGGCTACAGCATACCATGGGACCTGGCCCCTGAGGACATTGGCCTTTAGACGGAATGATTTCACAGGAAGAAATATCTAGACAACTTTACTAGGAAAACAAAGGAGAGCAGTTGAGCCCTCCAGCCTCAACTAGTGTTTAACAATTGAACAAAAATACTTAATGACATGAGTATGAAAGATCCTGGCTAATTTTCAGACAACCCTTCTTAAGGTAGATTAAGATCTAGGGAATACCTTCACTATGATGACAAATAGAAAGGGGTCCTTATTCTCAGGAACTTTTGAAACTACTTATTGACCAATGATAAAAAAGCTAATTCGAAACTCTTTTGCCCAAAGAATAGCAATTTCACCAAGAGGTAGGTAGGGTATGGCAGGGCAGGGCTGAATATTCTAAGTGGAAAGGATAAAGAGCTAGAGAAAGGTGGGCTGAGGAGCCGATGGAGCATGAGCACCTGAATGTTATGCTCAAGCTCAACAGAATTTGAAAGGAGCATCTGGAATCGCTAGGGTTCGTATGCCAGCTACATAAAGCAGAAAGTTGGCAGCTACAGCTTGTATCTGACATGGGTGACAGCCAAACAGGAGATGGGTATATACAAACTGGTCAGCATTTGCTTCTTTTTTGACAGTAAGTTCTTGTAGTCTTTCTATTGTCATGTTTTGTTTCTTTTTAAAGACACTTTATTATGTTGATTTGGGCTTTTACGTTTGTTTCATAGATCTATGTTTTTTTGAATTGTATTGAAAACACAGCAGATGCTCCCTAAAATTCACTTCTGTTTTGATTCGTGAATTTTTTTTCTCCAAAAGTGAGTCCTTTCGTGTTTTGAATGCTGTATTCTCTTCTGTCTTTATTGCTGTATCTCTTCATGAAAGTTTTTTTCTGTTTCGTCATCCTTGAGTAAAGGGAAGTGAATGTCAGCTGGGTACTTTTCTATAAACAGAGAGATGGGTTGTTCTAGGTTCCCTCGCCATCCGCCAGGAAGTTGAATCCTCTGCTTACCTCATAAGCTGGAAAGACAGGGGTACATGTAAATTGCTACTGCCTCCCACGCATCCAAAAGGTGCATTATTTCTGTGTCATTTCCTCTCTGGATCTGTTAAAGCCACTTGGCTAGGGTTTTGCTTTCTATTTGCAGCTTCCTGTTGGGTCAGAACTTCACACTGAATGCATAAATGTGACTGCCCAGTGTCTGCCTGGCACCACTGGTGACTATGTCAGGGAGAAGCCTCTGAATGGCTGACTTTCTGCTAACTGTGGCACAAAGCCTGGGTCTCTCCAGTGGAGCTGATTTCAGTGCTACTGATTGGAACTGCTGAGTGAGATTCCGAGTGAAGCTTTCCCTGAAGGCCCCACTCCTGCTCTGGCCTGGGGTCCCAGCCCCCTGACAAAGGTGATATGAGGCCCTTCATGACTTGATTCTCTCAATATTGTGCTTTCCCAGGAGTAGAATGGTTAAAATGCAGTGGCTATAAGTCCATAGTCCATAATAATGTCCTTAATAGTTCCAATTATTTTTCAACTGATGAGAATTAGTTTTTAGTTTGTAAAAGTGGAATAGGAAGTGTTTGTATGAGAAACAGGAGATTGTCCTAGTAAAAGGAAAAGTGTCAGCTCATTTTCATGTTTAGTTGTCCTTGTATTATCAGCATTTTATTTCATCTGCCTCCTCTTTCCAGAATCTTTTTAAATGACTTGTCCATTTTATAAAGCTTGAGTTAGTTAAATCTAGGTCATGAATCAACAATCCATTTAACTGGAGACTCACGAATCCACTCCCTTAGAAGACTACTGTCCTAGAGTATGCTTTAAAGTTTTTTTGTGTTTTTGTTTTCTGCAAAGGATATGGATAATAAATTTTGAAGTTTTCAACACTTGAGAATAACTTTATTGACTTGTCATGTACTTGGTAAGTCTACAGATGTAGATATAAATATCTTGAATTTTTCCCATATTATTCTCAAAAATTGGTACTGCTATTAAATTGCTTTTTGATGTTTGGCATGATAGAAATCGATGGCCTGGACAATTTCTTTTTGTTACTTTGTAAGTATTATGTTTTATTTTCTCAAATTCATTTCTTTAGTCTGTGAAATCAAAATTACAGTAGCATACATTTGATTTTTTAATTTACTTTTATTTATTTATTTATTTATTTATTTATTTATTTATTTATTTATTTTTGAGACGGAGTTTCGCCCTTGTTACCCAGGCTGGAGTGCAATGGCGCGATCTCGGCTCACCGCAACCTCCGCCTCCCGGGCTCAGGCAATTCTCCTGCCTCAGCCTCCTGAGTAGCTGGGATTACAGGCACGCGCCACCATGCCCCGCTAATTTTTTGTATTTTTCGTAGAGACGGGGTTTCACCATGTTGACCAGGATGGTCTCGATCTCTCGACCTCGTGATCCACCCGCCTCAGCCTCCCAAAGTGCTGGGATTACAGGCTCGAGCCACCGCGCCCGGCTAATTTACTTTTAAAAAATTATATTTGATCTCTATTCATCTGTTTATACAAGTTTAACCTAGGAAAACTTATTTTAGGCGTCCCCAAACTTTTTACACAGGGGGCCAGTTCACTGTCCCTCAGACTGTTGGAGGGTCGCCACATACTGTGCTCCTCTCACTGACCACCAATGAAAGAGGTGGTCCTTCCTGAACTGCGGTGGGGGGCCAGATAAATGGCCTCAGGGGGCCACACGTGGCCTGCGGGCCGTAGTTTGGGGATGCCTGACTTATTTGATTAAAGCTGCTTCTGTTGTTTATTTCCTATGAAAGTTTTATTAAAGGTAGATTAGATCTTCTGGCTTTTTCTTCTATTACAATTTCTATCATCATTTTCTTTGTTTTTGTTATTTCCTTTTAGGTTCTAGAATTGAGATGGGTTCTAATGCAAATTCATATCAGAATCTTTAAGTCCCAAATGAAGAGAGGCATTTTTTAAAAGTTTAATTTTACTCTCCTTTTGCCTTTGCCTCCTTTTGAGAGACCAAACAGCCTAGAGGGTAGCTGGGCCCCTGGAGGTGAGAGTCAGAACTGGAGGCAGAGTTAGCCAGGAATGTGTTTTGCTAAAGAGCTTCCAATCCTTATTTGGAACAGCAGTCAGGCCTCCCTGCTGCCCTCTCCCCATTCTTTGGCAGACTGGCCATCCCTTCTGTGTGAGTGACTGGCAAGCCCTTCCCTGCCAACTCCCTGTCCCATGCTGCCCCTGAAATTCAGAGCTCTTCCTAGTGCCGCTAATGGCATTCACAAGACCGACCTTCACTTCCAAGCCTGCAGAGGCCTCTGCTGATTTCCTTTGCATATTTCCCTTTGATACATTGGAGAGTCATAATTCAGGTAGAGACTACCTGAACCTGATCTTATTTGTATTTTATACCATTGAAATTCCTGAAAATTTTTGTATGGTTGCCCCTCTTGCCTCCTTTTTAAGGTTAATCCAAGATTGTTTTTTTTCATTCTTTATTGTGGATCATTTTCATGAAAATCAGAAGGGAGTAGTTTATCTGCCTTGCCAAGAAGGCAACCTATTTTCTCCTATTAATTTAAGTCTGAGGCAATTTTGAAGTCAGGAAGGTGAGAACAGATTGCATATTACCAAGGGAAGTGGAGATTCAACAATGATCTTAAATATCTTGCTGGAATGTTTCTCATTTAGTTACCTGTGCTGATCAAAGTCATTGAATAACAACGACAATAGTTACAACAATTGCTTTTTTAAAGAACAACCATGAGTCACATACTATATATCAATTTCATTCAATTTTTATGTCAGCTTCAGAAATTTCATACTTTGCTCTTCATTAAGATAACACTCAGAGATGTTACATAACTTACCGAGGGTTGCACAACTACTAAATTATGAAGTGAGTTTCAAACCCTAGTTTGTCTTCAAAGTCTCTACTCTTTTCATTGCTGGTTATCAAACAGCCTGCAGAGTTGACCAAACTCCAAATCTCTGTGGTATTCACAGTATTCTCAGTTACTGCATGTTGATCATCTGTAGTCATTTTATTCTCAAGAATACTAAGTCCTTCTCTGTGCATATAATGTTCATGTAAATAACAGAAAAACATGTTTTATTGTTTCTTTTGTATAGTCTGGAGCATCTCGATTTAAAATCCATCCTCATATGTTCTTATTGTTTTGTTTTGTTTTAACTAGGGTATTTATCTGCTCTCAGAGTGATTTTTTTTCTCTCCAGTAAAACAATTTACTTTCATCTGTTCCTTCTGTAGCCCTCTTATGCTTCTATTAGTGGTTTAAATCTTTTCATCTGTCTTGGGACATGCCTGGGTCATGGGGCTGCTGTTTTCTGGGTCCACTGCTGAACCAGGTGCCTTCAACAGAACAAAATCTCAAGAGATGTATGGTGATTTTGCTACTGGTCAGGATTTATTATATTCACATAGAACAAAAAAAATGCAAATTTTAGAAAAAGCAAAATCATTGATAATTTAGGATTCAGAAAGATGAAAGTTAGCTAAAATGTATCATCAGCGCCTGGTTGGAGAGAAATGTTTTCTTCTTCTTCACAATGGCAAAAAATTATGCATTTATTTTATTACTTGCTCCTTTGGTCCATAATTATTTTCCTTTCAGATGTATCACACTAAGTGAGAATATTCAATGACTGTAAAATGTATCACCATAGTTGTAGAATTATTCTTTTTTTCCTCTATTCTAATGAAATTATATATTTTTATTTTTCTAGATTACGGTCTTTGGTCAAACAGTTAGAGAGAGGGGAAGCTTCAGTGGTAGATCTTAAGAAGAATTTGGAATATGCAGCCACGGTGCTTGAATCTGTATACATTGATGAAACCAGGTAAGCTAAAAATGACAAAGAGATTAGGATAGTGATGGTAAATTTTCTGTTAAGTGGCTTTTCTGACACTGTCCTCCATGCCAGGAATGGGGTGACATTCAAATTACTCATCTTGGAGTTTTAGTTTCCACAAACAAAGGGGATAGATCTGGACAAGTCATTTACTCTCTATACCTCCTTATGTATAAAAGAAGCTAATAGAATGTATTTCACATGGTTGCCATGACAAGGAAGTGAGATCACAAAAGAGGAGAAAAGCTAATTTTTAAAAATCTGGTAAGATTTAAAAAGTGAAATGTAGAGCTTTATTGTAATTATAGTATGTTAAGTGTCAGTCTAAAAGTTGTGTTTATGTTTTAATTCATAACATCCATTAGTAAATGGAGGTTCCTCAAGTGATTGAGAAGCATGTGTTCTCTTAAGCACCCAGCTTTGCCTCTTCAATCTTATGTATGTTGCTGATTTACTTAGGAGACTTACTCCACTTGAATTATCTAAAAATATAAAAGCAGTTTCAGTTACTGTATGTGTTTGAAATTGCCTTCCTTTTGAAAAATGTTGAAATGTTGAATATGAAAGGTGGTTTTCCCCCCCTAATTCAGACAGGCTTCTCTGTCAGTACTTGTGATGCCTTACTTTTCTTTGCCAAATTCCAATCTGAAAGGATTTCACAGTAATCTAAGATTTGTATGGTTTGTTATTATTATTTTGGCAACAGACTTGGTTCCTAATTTAAGGAAATTTGATACCACAGCTTCTTTTCTAAACGTTATGTTTCCTCTCCTTACCCCCAGCCCAATCAATAAGTCTAAAGGAAAAAAAAAAAATCCATACACTTTTATATTGACAGCTACTTTTACTGCTAATTTTTACTTGGGTTTACTATAAAAATGAAATGCTATTTTAGATTTTATTTTAATATTGCTATTTGTGTTCCATTCTAGTGGTCTGACCTATGAACAAGTTTGAAAAATCAGCTAAACACAGCTGTCAGACAATTTAAATCATTGTGCGCAAATAAAGAACTGCATTATTTTGAAAATTTTGCTTGAATTTAGACACTTAAATGTTGGTAACAACCTATCAAATGATAAAGAATATTAATTGTCATCACTTAGGATCACTACTTCAGAGGACTGCATGGCTGTGATTTAGTGAATATTTTGTGAACTCTCTAAGTGTCCATTTTTTTAAAACAAAATAATGTCACATTGTCCATCTATGAAATAATATAATGCTCCCTGTGAATGCATTTTTAAATAGAAGGTTTAAATTTCACTCAAATGCCACAGAGTGCTTCTGGGTGCAATGGACCAATTCCTTTGTCCAGTCTGGTAGAGAGAACCATCATGAAATAACAGTGAGGCCAAGACCATCCTGAAACACACATGGTGAGCTTACATAAGCCTTACCAAAAAAGCACTGTATTTTTTGTGGCCAATTTAATTTGGTTTCTTTGCACCTGCATACAGGTGAGGCATAGAAGAGCAGCTGCTTTGAACAGAAAGCGCCAACTACAGATTTAAGCTCAGTGTCCTGGTTCTGTTTCTTGTGTTCAGGAGACTCCTGGATACAGAGGATGAGCTAAGTGACATTCAGTCAGATGCTGTGCCTTCTGAGGTCCGAGACTGGCTGGCCTCCACCTTCACGCGGCAGATGGGAATGATGCTCAGGAGGAGCGAAGAGAAGCCTAGGTTCAAGAGCATCGTTCACGCAGTGCAGGCTGGGATATTCGTGGAGAGGTAAAGATATCATTCATTGTCATTCACTGACTAAAGCCGCAAAAGGAACACATTTCCAATAACTGGAAGCTTTGCTTTAATGTAGTTTTCCTATCTTTATAAATACTGAAAATTGTGGGTAAAAACAGATAGTCTTGAAAGAGAAATGGCAAAAAGATAGTCTTGAATGAGAAATGGCAAAAACATACCTATTTTCATCTCTGTAGCACCATTAAGAAAAGCTTTTGCTTTTGCTCAGAATTTTTTTGTTTACCAGAGAATATTTAGTTTGAGTTCAGTCTCTAATTTTTAAAGCAGGAAATCATCTCATCTATCATCTTTTGAAGTATGTGGATGCTATCTCCATTTTGAACAGATCTAGGATGCTTTGAGGTTGCTGACCGAAGGGGAGGAGAGTTCATTTCAGTGGTTTGAAGTCCCCATTGACACTTCAATTTTTTAGCGATTTTACTCTTTGAAATCGAATTGACCCCCTTACCCAGCAATAGATTCCAGAAATAGATATATTCTTCCTACAATCCTTATCATATAATTACACATTTTAGAAATACCATGGTGAGTTCAAAGATTACCTGGGATATTTTTCCTTCTTGTTTTTGACCCTTCTAAAGAACAAGCTCTTCTAAATGGGTTACCCATAGGGATTCTTCATTCAGGTTAAATTACTACACTGCATTCTTTATATTCTGTACTATAATTCACTATGGCAATAGAAGTGATCCATTTAATAATTTAATTTCCAGTCTGGGCCTGTAGAGTTAGTTTTTTATTCCCCCAATGGTTCATGTGTTTGGGATTGCTTTAATTTCTTCTGAAATTAACCTTAGACCACTTGAGTGAATATAAAAAACGAATTTTAGGTTCTTTGGATCACCCCACTTGACTTTTCATCATTTGTAAATACTTGGTTTGACTCTGTGGACTACAAATCCTACTTTTTAAGATATGTTGCATTTTTCCCTTTTGCCTTTGCAGAATGTATAGACGGACATCAAACATGGTTGGACTGAGCTATCCACCAGCTGTTATTGAGGCATTAAAGGTAATAGCAATGAAAAGATTTTCACAATGTACATGGTACGTAATAAAAAAATAGAGTTAAATTTGTTAGAAAATAAGAGACTTTCATTTACAGTTATTTTTCCAGTTATTCCTGACTTTATTATTTCATTATCTTTTTATTATCTGTTCTAAAAGTATCACTGTCTTTTCAGCCTTCATCTTCCCAATTTAAAAATAATCAAACTCTGTGGGTTTCATTTATTTCTACTACTCTAGAGTATTTTAGGTTTTATACAGTGATATGTCATTATGAGATTTATCTGATTTTTCCAAACAAGATCAATATGTTTTGGCCATAAGTGTTCAACATTAAGAGGATCTTCAGTATTTATAATTATCCCATTATCTGACTACCTACTCCAAGTCCATTTTATACATGAATAAACCAAAACTCAGCAAGATTTTAAAAAAGATTTAGAGACAGAGATAATGTTTGACACCAGAATTTTCAGCACCTGTTAAGCTCTTAGTAATGTTTTACTGCATGAATGTATGGCCCGAGAGCCTTTGTCCCATCTATACATCCCATTGTTTTCCCAAGACTCTCATTGAGCCAAATGTTCCCTTGGAACTCATACAATGTTTGAGTTTAAATGGGCTAAATCCTGTAGAATTACCTCTAATATCAGGCAAGTTCTTGGAATTGTATAGAATATCTCTAGGAGCCCCAAAGCAGATACATTCCTGAAGGCAGATGTTGATGAAGATCCATTGGTCCGAGGGTGTTTGAGATTTGCTGAACTTGATTTGGCTTCTGGATTCTGGTGTGCTGCTGATCCTATAGCCCAGGATCACTGAGGTCGTGGGCATCACATGTCGTCTATGTATGGACTTGGGCCATGTGCTCAGGGACATTATAGCATTTTGACCTTTGCTAAAGTCATTGTTTTCTTTTTTTAAAACCTGAAAAATGTGATGATATTTTCAGAAGCTAAATTACCTATTCATGGAGTTAGGAGTTGGGGAGTGCTTCTTAATTAATTTAATGTCAGGAAAGAGCCCCTTGGGACCATCTTGATTATATATTCATAGACCTTTCTCTTGTCTCCGAGACATTTACTAGCTGAATTTGAGAGACCAGATGTACATAGGTTCTCATTTCTCCTTTTTTTTTTTATCTCTGCCCTTCCTGTCTCTTCTTACCTAATCTTAAAAGCAGGAAGGATACTCAGGTAGGACCCAGCAAGAAGACATGTCTTTTCTTTCATTCTTCTTTAACCTCTAATCTGATGCCCAATACATCAGTGTAATGTACAGTAATATTTCCTATTTTAATCAGTGAAATAACTTCAGGAATCTGATGTTTCTTAGCACCCACCGTGGAGTTGCATTGATTTTCATAATTGAACCTGAAACGTTCAATCAGAGTCTTAGAAACATTAAAGCCATCTTTTGTCTTTAATTTTTTCCTTTATCAGGAACATAAATACAAGTGGGTATACTGGTACCAAGATATTTATTAAAATGTTTCCCAAAACCTAAAATGCAATAAAAAAATATTAAAAAATAATAATAAAAAAATAAAATGTTTCTTCCAAATTGAAGCCTCTTTTCTGTGCAAAATAACTGAAGAAAAATTGGAATAAACTATGATGGGCATGAATTGTTATTTTATACTTAGGGAAAATAAATTCTTAGATGCACACATTTTGTCTGAGAGGACAGGTCTTTCGATTATTCAGATAAGGAAGACCTACTAGTTCTCTAAATAAATTGCTACTTCTCCTCACATATATTGTTGATATATGCATTAAGGCTGAAGCTGCTATTTCTCCTGGCTGTGTCCCCTGTTTACTGGGGAAGTTCAAAGCTTTTTACAATGTAATATTTTTCCACTTCTCCAGATGCTGATTTTATTTGCAATGAGTTGGAGCGATCACAGATATAGACTCTTTTGTTTCTCTCTTTATGTGCTACATGTTAGAAAAAAGATGATTTCTACTTCATTGCCAGAAAATAGTAGTGATATGGAATCACTACTATTTTCTTTTATACAGTCTATTCCCCGTAGACTGAGAGAATGCAATTCCCTAAAATAACCCTTTTGCTACTGTCAGGTTAACCTTTGTGGTTAATGTAAGAACACGACATAAAATGATATTTAAGTAAGAGAATAATGAACCAGTCTCTAAATTTGAAACATGTTGCATTATGTTCTTTCTACTTTTTCCATTATATGTAAGTATAGATGTAAGCTTCTAACTTGAGGTGTTCTACCTCTAGTCTTCTGAGGTTAGCCTAATGGAAATATAGCTGTGTGCTCTTCTTTAGAAGGGCGTCTGTTTTGTGACTCAGGAAGTGACACCCTGGAAAGACTCCAGGTTTAAAGCAGAGGAGATGCGGAGTTCAGGCTGCCCTTGTGTTAGCCTAACAGGAAGTTCCTGCAATTTCTCTACAGGACGTGTCCTTGGGTAAAATTTGGCAAAAGAGGAAGAATGGCTGAAGGCAGTTAAACTGAGTGCTTATGAAAAATGCAGATTCCAGACCCCACACCAGGATTCTCTAAAGTCTCCACTGGAAAATCCCTATTTTTGCTGAGCTCCTCAACTGGTTCTGAAGAACATGAGACTGAGAATTACAGTTAAGGCTTCCCTAACATGAGGAACCAAAGAGGACATGCATCTCACTGACTCTATTTGCTCATCCTCTTGGTTCTCTAAGTCCTGATAGTCAGAAAAAAATCTTGGCTTTTTATCATGATCATCTCTTTATTTCTAGCCCTTTCCTATATTATTGGTTCTGGACACTATTACAAATTGTCAGAAGTGACACAATGTTTTCCAACCTTCTGAGCTGTCAGTGACTTTTTCCTTAGGACTAAATATCAGATAATATATGTGGCTCGTGGCAGTGTCAATGATAGTAACCAAGGTAGAACTTTAGGTCTTGGGTTAATCTTAAATGTCCTTGTTTTCCCACTAGTATGGGCCCTGGTGGGGTTTTAAAGGGATGAGGCCTGGGTCACAGCACATATTCATGGAGTTTACAATTTCGTCTGTTGGCAGTGAGATCACTAGGGGTTGTTAGTGGGGTTATTACCTGGCTCTGGTACCATATGGCACTAGACATTTCTATTAATCTCTCTGAGGTGGCCATCTATAAAACTGGAGAAAGTGACACCAATCTCTAGACCTGCGAGGTTTTGCAAATGTGTGTAAACACTCACACTGTGCCTAGAACAGAAAATGTGCACACAGAATGTGCCTTATTAAGATATCCATTACCTGCAGAATGATAATTTCTTTGGTTATTTTAATGGAGTGGCAGTTGTTGAAGACTGAAGTGAGGTTACCATTAAGTGTGAACTGGAACAACTCAATTGAAACCTATCTGGAAAAGTTTGATTTTTCTATACAATTCTGTTTTCCCTGAAAACTGTTTATTAGCATCCAGGAGGGAGATCCTTGATGGCCTTGGGATGAATTTGACAGATGGAATATTTGGACAAGAACAAAATTGGGGTGGATGGATTATGTTGGAATTCAGTGAGGGCTGGGAAGAGAGTCACTTATGAGAACCAAGGTCTCTACCAGGGTACTAGGGTGCCTTGCCTGTAGGCAGTGTGGGCTCATGTGGATCCTTGCTGTCAGCTCAAGTCAATATGCTTCACTTAACTACAGGAAGTGAGACTTTTGGTGCCGTGAAAAACCAAATGACTGTTGCTTTAACTATTGCTTAAACAGATCTTTGTTTACTACATCTACAAGAAGTTGGTTACCATCAGCCAAAGCACATCAGACTATATTTACATATATTTTGGAGTAGCTATTTACAGGCAAAGACTTTGAACTTCAGGGATGGTATATAAGATGTTTGTTCAGTTTAGTTTTTCCTTTTACTTTTTTTCAGTAAAGTGACTTGCAGATTTGAGGACAAGATCCCAGACTAGTGACTCCAGAAATGGTAGCATTTTTCTGTCCTATGAAATGAATGCCTTCTTTTTGGTTTCAGCTCAGCAGTTTAGATTGATGTGACATATTATTTTGTATTCTATATCATGCCTGTTTCTGAACTCTTACAAATAAGTTAACATTCTTAACTGTAAACTTAGAAGTCATTGGACAGTGTCAAGGGATCGGAGAGAAGTTCAGAGAAGTGAAGTGCCCTAGGCTGTAGCGAATTAAACAGTAGCAGCTGCAGGGCGTAATGGAAGGTGACTGATACCAAGTATACAACATATGTTTGTGTTCTGGCCCTGCCTGCATCCCCAGCACTTACTCACCTTGGGTGTTAAGGAAATTAGGTAATTTATCAGTTTTTTTTTTTTTTTTTTTTTTTTTTTTTTTTTTTTGAGACGGAGTTTCGCTCTTGTTACCCAGGCTGGAGTGCAATGGCGCGATCTCGGCTCACCACAACCTCCACCTCCTGGGTTCAGGCAATTCTCCTGCCTCAGCCTCCTGAGTAGCTGGGATTACAGGCACACGCCACCATGCCCAGCTAATTTTTTGTATTTTTAGTAGAGACGGGGTTTCACCATGTTGACCAGGATGGTCTTGATCTCTCGACCTCGTGATCCACCCGCCTCGGCCTCCCAAAGTGCTGGGATTACAAGCTTGAGCCACCGCACCCGGCCCAGTTTTCTTATCTGTAAAATGTGACCAATATCTAACACTTAGAGTTGTTTTCAGGATAAATTACAACTTTATCACCAACCATAATGCCTGCCATACATAAGTACTCAATAAATTATGGCTATTTTTATTAGTAATAGGACTATTTATTGTTTTTAAACAATGTAGGCTAGCCAGACTGAAAAAAGTTTGAGAGTGGAAAGGCTGTAAGAGTCTCACACTGTGAAATCTCCAGTGAGGGCTGCAGGCAGTTTTGAAAGTGGGGAGTTTGGTAGGTGTGTAAGTGACATTGGCCTAATGTGTTCTTTCTCCCCACTCTGTCCTGTAGGATGTGGACAAGTGGTCCTTTGATGTCTTTTCCCTCAATGAGGCCAGTGGGGATCATGCATTGAAATTTATTTTCTATGAACTACTCACACGCTATGATCTGATCAGCCGTTTCAAGGTCAGTATCTCTTTAAAAAGAAAAATAAATAAACTACGTGGATGTGTTTATCCTCATATGACCTTTGGGTTCAGATTCTTTTAATATGCAGAATGAAAACTGTTCCAGGCGACTAAGGAAGCATCCTTCGGATAGCCACTGCTGTGAATTCTTCTCTGGAGGGTGCTTTTGATTACATCCTTGCTGGTGGGTCTCAGTGGCATAGGAGAGCTGGGAGAGAATGGAGAAACCCGTTTCGATTTTGGTCTTCCTGGAATTACAACCTGAAGCCTGAAATAACCAAGCTCCCCCTCAGGCTCTGTTCACAGGTCTCATTTCAACATGGCTTTGTGTCATATCGACCAATGCCATCAGAGAGACAGTACTGGAGACAGAGTGAGCATCTGCTGTCTCTGTAAACCTTTTTTTCCCACCACTTGGCTCATTCAGATAAGTACTATCACTTACCATCTGTGACAGCTCATTGGTATTTCCCTGTCATTCATGCTTCAGATTAATTCTTCAACTTTACGTAAAAGAACATGAATCATTTCCAGTGTTCAATTCCCTACAGCCTTCTAATACTGTAGACTCTCGAAGTGGGGTCAGATCCTCAAGGAGTTGAGGTATTCATCTGCCAACATCTGGTTTCAAGCTCCTCTGACTTCTCTCATCAGAAGGATGAGCTTCTGGAAGACACAAGTCTTTTTCTGTACAACATCTTGATTTCTCCAGAGACGTGGTTCTTTATACTCTCCTAGGGACTGTATATTTGTATATATGTTTTTTGGTACAAATATTGTGTGTATTTATAGGGTACATGTGATACTTTTTAACGTGCATAGACTATGTAATGATTAAGTCAAGGTTATTAAGATGTCCATTACCTGCAATATTTATCATTTCTATGTGTTGGGAACCTTTCAAGTCCTCTCTTCTAGCTGTTCTGAAATGCACAATACAGTCTTGTTAACTGTAGTCACACTACTCTGCTACTGAACATTAGACTTTAATCTTTCTGTCTTTTTTTTTTTTTGAGATGGAGTCTTTCTCTGTCCCTCAGGCTAGAGTGCAGTGATATGATCGCAGCTCACTGCAACCTCTCTCAGGTTCAAGCGGTTCTCCTGCCTCAGCCTCTTGAGTATCTGGGACTACAGGCATGTACCACCATGTCCAGCTAATTTTTTGCATTTCTAGTAGAGACAAGGTTTCACCATTTTAGCCAGCATGGTCTCAGAATCCTGACCTTGTGATCCACCCATCTCAGCCTCCCAAAGTGCTGGGATTACAGGCATGAGCTACCATGCCTGGCCTAATCCTTCTAACCAACTGTGTGTTGGTACCCATTAACCAACCCCTCTTTATCACCAACCCCTGAACCCTGACACACATCCCAGTCTCCAGTACCTATCATTCTACTCTTTAACTGTGTAAGATCAACATTTTTAGCTCCCACATCTGAGTGAGAACATGTGCTGTTTGTCTTTCCATGCCTGGATTATTTCACTTAATGTAATGACTTCCAGTTCTATCCATGTTGTTGCAAATGACATGATTTCATTCTTTTTTATGGCTGAATAGTATTCCATTATGTATGTATACCAGGTTTTCTTTATCCATTCATCCACTGGTGGACACTTAGCTTGATTGTATATGGTACTCGAATAAACGTGAGAGTGCAGATATCCCTCTGATACACTGATTTCTTTTCATTTGGATAAATACTTTCATTTCTTTTCATTTGGATAAGTAGTGAGATTGCTGGATTGCATAGTAGTTCTACTTTTAGGTTTTTTTTTTTGGCGGGGGGAGGGGGTTGTTTGTTTTTTGGTGCCTTTGTCAAAAATTCCCACACTGTTTTCCATGGTGACTGTACTAATTTACATTCCCACCAACAGTGTAGAAGTTCTGTTTTTCTACCTCCTCACCAGCATCTTTTAAAAAATAATAATAATAACTATTCTTACTGGGCTAAAATGATACCTCATTGTGGTTTTGATTTGTATTTCCCTGATGATTAGTGATGTTGAGCATTTTTTTCACATATGCACTGTCCATTATATGTCTTCATTTGAGAAATGTCTATTTACATCTTTGCCCACTTTTCAATGGGATTATTTGTTATTTTTACCAAGTTGAGTTTCCTGTACATTCTGGAGATTAGTCCTTTGTCAGATGAATATTTTGCAAATGCTTCTCATATTTAACAGATTGCCTCTTCACTCTCTTGTTTCCTTCCTTTACCATGCAGAAGATTTTTAGTTTAATGTAGTTCTGTTTGTCTATTTTTGTTTTTATTGCCTCTGTTTTTGAAGTCTTATCCATAACATATTTGCCTAGACCAATGTCTTGAAGTGTTTTTTTGTTCTTCTGGTTTTATAGTTTTGAGTCTTGTGTTAAAGTCCTTAACACATCTTGAGTTGATTTTTGTATATGATAAGAGATGGGTGTCTAGTTTTATTCTCCTATATATGAATATATGATTTTTCCAGAGTTATCTATTGAAGGAGGTGTCCTTTCTGTAAGTTTTTGGTGCCTTTGTCAAAAATCAGTTAGCTGCAAATATGTTGATTTATTTATGGGTTTCCTATTCTATTCCACTGGTCTATGTATCAATTTTTATACTATTACCATGCTGTTTTGGTTCCTGTAGCCATGTAACATATTTTGAAATTATGTAGCATGATGCCTCCAGTTTTGTTGTTTTTGCTCAGGATTGCTTTGGCTAATTGGTCTCTTCTGGGGCTCCCTATATGTATTTTTTTATTTCTGTGAAAAATAGCATTGGTATTTTGATAGAGATTGCATTGAATCTGTAAATTGCTTTGGGCAGCATGGTCACTTTAACAACATTAATTCTTCCCATACAGGAGCATGGGATGTCTTTCCATTTATTTGTGTCCTCTTTAATTTCTTTCATCAATGTTTTGTAGTTTTTTCTAGAGAGGTCTTGTACCTTCTTGAGTAAATTTATTCCTAGGTATTTTTTTTGTAGCTATTGTAAATATATTGTAAATGACGTTGCTTTCTTGATTTCTTTTTTTTTTTTTTTTTTGGCTATTTCGTTGTTCATGTATAGAAACACTACAGTACTGACTTTTACAACTTTTTTTTTTTTTTTTTTTTTTTTAATATAGAGACAGGGTTGCACTATGTTTCCCAGGCTGATCTTGAACTACTGACCTCAAGCAATCAGCCTCCCCAAATGCTAAGATTACAGGTGTGAGTAACTATGAGAAGCCAGTACTGATTTTTGTATGTCGATTTTGTATTCTGCAACTTTACTGGATTCATCAGATTGAAGACTTTTTTTGGTAGAGTCTTTAGGTTTTTCTAGATATAAGATTATGTCATCTGCAAAGAGAGAAAATTTGACATTATCTTTTCCAATTTGGATGCCCTTTATTTCTTTCCTTTGCCTGATTGCTCTATCTAAGACCTCAAGTAATATGTTGAATGGAGTGGTAAAAGTGGAGATACTTGTATTGTTCCAGTTCTTAGAGGAAAGCCTTTCAACGTTTCCTCATTCAGTATGAAGTTAACTATGTGTTTTTATATATTATCTTTATTATGTTAAGTTATGTCTTTTCAATTCCTGGTTTGTTGAGTTTTTATCATGAAGAGATAATTGAATTTTATCAAATGTTTTCTCTGCATCTATTGAGATTATCATATGGCTTTTGTCCTTCATTCTCTTAATACGTGATGTATTATCATGTTTATTGGTTTGCATATGTTGAACTATCCAAGTATCCTTGGGACCTTGGGATTGATCCTACTTGATCATGGTGTATTATCTTTTTGATGTGCTGCCAGATTCAGTTTGCTAGTATTTTGTTGAGGACTTTTCATCTATGTTCATCAAGGGTGGTGGCCTGTGGTTGTGTTTTATTATTGTTGCAGCCTTGTCTGGTTTTCGTGTCAGGGAAATACTGACATTGCAGAATGAGTTAGGGAGAAGAAGAAATTTCTCCTTCAATTTTTTGGAATATTTTAGGAGAACTGATGTTAGTTCTTCTTTGAAAGTTTGGTGATATTTGTTAGTGAAGCTATCTGGTCCTAGACTTTTCTTTTTGGGGAGAATTTATATTACTGATTCAAACTCATTACTCATTATTGGTCTGTCCAGGTTTTCTGTTTCTTCATGATTCAGTCTTGGTAAGTTGTATGCCCAGGGACTTATCTATTTCCTCTAAGCTTTCCAGTTTGTTAGTATACAGTTGTTTGTAATAGTCTCTGATAATCTTTTGTATTTCTGTGGTATCAGTTGTAATAGCTCCCTTTTCACTTTTGATGTTGTTTATTTGAATCTTCTCTTTTTTTCTTTGTTAGTCTAGCTAGCAGTTTTTTTGTTTGTGTTTTCAAAAAATCAACTTTCATTTTATTGCTGCATTGCATTGTTTTGTTACTCTCTATTTTATTTAATTCTGCTCTGATCATCATTTCTTTGTCTTACTAATTTGAGTTTGGTTTGATCTTACTTTCTTCTTCATTGAGGTGAAGTGTTAGATTGTTGGAATTTTTCTACTTTTTGGACACATTTTTTGCTATGAATTTCCCTCATAGCACTGCTTTTGCTATTCCATAGCTTTTGATATGTTGTGTTTAGAGTTTCATTTACTTTAAAAATGTTTTTATTTCCTCCTTAATTTCTTTCTTAATTGAATGGTAATTCAGGAACATGTTATTTAATTTCCATGTATTTGTATAATTTGCAAATTTCATCTTGTTAATTTCTAGTTTTCTTTTATTGTGATCTGAGAAGACACTTGATATTATTTTGATTTTTAATTTTTTTGAGACTTATTTTGTGTTCTAACATATGGTCTAGGCTGGAGAATGTTCTTCATGCTGATGAGAAAAATCTGTGTTCTGTAACTGTTGGATAAAATGTTCTGTAAGTGTCTATTAGGGCCATTTGGTCTAATATGAAGTTTAAATCCAACTTTGTTAATTTTCTGTATAGATGTTCTGTTTGATGCCATGATAGAGTGTCAAAGTGTCAAACTATTACTGTATTAGAGTCTCTCTCTTCTTTAGGTCTAATAATATTTGCTTTATACATCTGAGTGCTTCAGCGTTAGGTGTGTGTATGTTTAGAAATGTTATATCCTTTTGCTGGATTGATTCTTTTTTTATTATACCATAACTTTGTCTCTTTGTACTATTTTTGACTTAAAGTCTGTTTTATCTGTTATAAGTATAGCTACTCCTGCTTGCTTTTGATTTCCATTTGCATGGGATTTTTTTAAATGTCTATTTCTTTTCAGTCTATATGTGTCTTTACAGGTGAAAAGAGTTTCTTGTAGGTGGCATATAGTTGGATCATGAATTCTTTCTTTCTTTTTTTTTTAATCCATTTACCCAGTCTATTTTTTAAGTGGGAAGTTTAACCAATTTACATCTAAGGTTGCTATTGATATGTGAGGACTTATTCCTGTCATTTTATTAATTGATTTCAGATTTATTATGTATCCTTTCTTACATTCTCATTGTTTATAATTGTGGTTTGGTGGTTTTCTGCAGTGGTAACATTTGGATTTTTTTCTCTTCCTTATTTGTGTACTTGCTCTACCAGTGAGTTTTTTTTTTTTTTTCCTTTTTTTCATTTTCATGATGGTAGATATTGTTTCTTTGTTTCCAGGTGTAAGACATCCTTAAGCATTCATTATAGGTCTGGTCAAGTGATGAGGAATTCCCTCTGCATTTTGCTTGTCTGGGAAAGGCTTTATTTCTCCTTCATTAATGAAAAATAGCTTTGCTAAATATAGCATCCTTTGTTGGCATTTTTTTTTTAGCTCTTTGAATCTATTAACTCATTATCTTTTTGCCTGTAGGGTTTCTGATGAGATATTTTCTGTTCTTCTGATGGAAGTTTTCCTTATAAGTGAATACGTGTTTTTCTCTTGCTGTTTTTAGAATTTTTTTGTCTTTGATTTTGACAGTTTGACTCTAATGTGCTGTGGAGATCTTTTTGAATTGTATCTGTTTGGGAATCTTTGGGCTTCCTGTGTCTGGGTATGTAAGTTTCTTGCTACATTTGGGAATTTTTCCAGTAGTATTTTGTTAAATAGGTTTTCTAACTCTTGTTTCCACTTTGCTTTTGGGGACACTGAAAATGCAAATATGTTATTGTTTAATGGTGGCCAGCTTACTACATAGGCTTTGTTTATTTATTTATTTATTTATTTTTTATTTTTATTTATTTTTTTTTTTTGCCAGACTGCATTTTTTGTTAGGATCTGTCTTCTAGTTCTGAACTTTTTTATTCTTGCTTGGTCTAGTCTACTGTTGAAGGTTTAAAATGTATTTTGTGTTTTATTAAATGAATTCTTCCACTCCATAATTTCTGTTTGGCAATTTGTATGATAGCTATCTCTTTAGTAAATTTATCATTAATATCCTGAATTGTTTTCTTGATTTCTTTGTATTACTTTTATGTGTTCTCCTGTGTATCATTGAGCCTCTTTAGAAACAATAATTTGAATTTTTTATCCAAAACGTCATAAATTTCATTTTGATTGGGGTCTCTTGCTGGGTAATTTTACAATCCTTTGGAAATGTCATACCTCCTTGCTTTACAAATGTTTCTTATGTCCTTATGTCAATATTTATGCATTTTTTTGTAACAGTCACTTATTTAAATTTTTAAAACTTGCCTTCACAGGGGAGAGCTTTTTCCTGAAGATGTATCTATGGGGTTGGTTGAGCAGAGAACTTTGGCTTTGATTCTGGGTGTACACAGTAGTGCCATCTTTGTATGATTCCTTTGGCTATAAACTATGTCAGTGGTGTATGTGATTTCTTCAGTAACTTAGAGTGTAATTGTTAGTAGAGGCTGTAGTGAAGTTTCACTGCAGATGGCATGTCAGTTGGGCCTGCCCTTGGGCCCCAGTAGTGGCAGTGGTTGGCCAAGCATGCCTGTCCCATGCCTTGGGTCCCAGGGAGTTCTACACTTGCACTGGTATTAGCAGGTCCAGAAGGCCTGATTCTTGGGCTTCCAGCTGGCTTACTCAGGAGCCAGTGGTGACAGCAGTGGGCCAAGTGGTTGGGGGCTTCTCAGTCCCCTGAATAGTAGGCATGGCATGAGCATTGGCAATAGCAGTGGTGAGACTAACTCCTCAGTTGCAAGCATCATAGAGGTGGCTATGACAATCTGGATGGACTAGTCTCCAGGCTCACAGAGCCCTTCCCACTGAGGAAATATGTCTTTACATGGCCACAAATACTTCATGGTCATGGTCCTTAGGTCTTTAATCTTTCTTTGCATCAGAAATCTGCAAGAAAATCTTGTAGATTCTGGAGACTCTCCTTGGAAAAAAGTTCCTGCATGTGCATGTGCACACGTGCGTGCATGCACACACACACACACGCAGAGCCCTTGCAAGCTATTCTTAGATCTCTGTAAAACAACCCAAGGAGCCCAGGTTCATTGGATCTTTATTTTTCAAAATGGTAATGAATTCATCTCTGACCTCTTAAAGGTCATATTTAAATTTATAAAAATCCACACATGGTAAAATGGAAGAATACACCCAAGGGAGAACCAATCATGGAATCTCAGAAGCATTAACTTAGCATTTTCCTTATTTTTTTCTTACAAATGTAATTGTTAATCCTCAGGAAGACACACCCTTTCCTTTTCCCTAGCCTTATATTGTATAATTTACCCTGAACCATGGAATGGATCCAGAAAACGAATGCAATGAATGTTTTCTGGATACCCTTATTTTGTACATGAATTTTGCAATGTTCTCCACTGCTGCATAGAAAAGAAAGGCATGTGTATTATACATATTTCAGATGGAAAAACAATCTAGTTGGAAAGGCTCCAAATGACTGGTAGTTGCAAATAAAGGCTGAAGTATTTTATTTGTGGAGAAATAAATGAATACATACTGTGCAGCATATCTCATTTATTTGTAGGAAAAAGTACACAAAAATCTTAAGTTATGAAATTATCGCAAAACAAATATAAACTGCCTGAAAGGAGTCCCCTTTGAAAGGAGTGATTAAATACATTGAACACATGAGAAAAACAAAACAAAATTAAAACCTAAAACCAAACAAAAACAAAACTCAAAACCAAAACGTGACAGTCTGTTTTTATATATGGGAACAGGAACAGGCTATGTTTTTATGTTTCTTACTTGGCTATTTATTACTAGTGACTTAGAATTGGAAGATCTCATTCTACTGTTGTTAGGTTACAAATAGTGAATAATTCCACAAACTAGTACTAACAATTAGTATTATTTTCAAGTTCCATAGTGTTGTTTACAACACTGTTTGGTGTCCTGTGTTGAATCTTGTTTTCGCTTGGGGTTAGAGGGGAAGGGTATTTAAGAGTAGGTGAGGATAAGGAAATACAGAAAATTAACATAGTCACCAACAACCCAGTTTTCTAGTTGTGTATTAAACATTACTGCTTTCCATGTCAATAAAACAAAGTATCTTGAAATGATTCAATGTCATTTCTCAGGGATTCTGAAATGAACAACGAAGAAAAATGTACAAGGCAGACTATTAACCAAGAACTTCTGTTAGAATTCAAAATTATCTGCTAATTTTGTCAGTAACTTTTATTAACTGTGTAAAGTTTGAATTCCCTCATGTGATATGTTATGCCTTCAGAAAAAAAAAGCAGTCCTCATGCCTTAGACTTTTGTATCTCCATTGAAAGCAGCAAAGTCACTAGTTAATTAACCTTACTGCTCTCTTTCAGATCCCGATTTCTGCACTTGTCTCATTTGTGGAGGCCCTGGAAGTGGGATACAGCAAGCACAAAAATCCTTACCACAACTTAATGCACGCTGCTGACGTTACACAGACAGTGCATTACCTCCTCTATAAGACAGGAGTGGCGGTAAGTATGGATAGGAACTCTTAAGTTCCCCAAAAGATGCAAGAATGAATTTTTAATGGTGACTGTTCTGATGAGGTGGAGGCCATGAGTGATGCATTGTTTTATGGACTTCCTGTTTTCCAGGAGTAATCTAACGGATATGGAAAGTCTTGGAGTTCCCTGTTGCCTCTTAAATTTTTTCCATCCTGAGCCTGATGAGATAAATGCCTGGTAGTGACTTTCGTCTTCACCAGGTTATAACCAATTCAAATATAACAACTACAACCAAATATATATTTCTAGATATGGAGAGTGGTACTATTAACCTTTGGCTGTGGTCAATAACAATGACATTCATGCATACTGAAATTGTATTCAATTTACTTGGCAACTTATCTTTTGGTTTAAACCACTAGGTCTTTTTCATAGGGACTATGGTTATTCATATCCTATCTGTATGCCTTTGGTTATTTTTAACTTAAGGGTAAATCTTTACTTCTAACCATTTGAAGTGTTTCTTGCTTCTTTTGGCTCAACATTTTAGCTCTTTAGATGTTTTTGGTTTTGTCTTAAAATTTTTTTTTAACAGATCGGGATCTCAGTCTATCACCCAGGCTGGAGTGCAATGGAGCCATCATAGCTCACTGCAGCCTCTAACTCCTGGGTTCAAGTGGTCTTCCTGTCCCAGCCTGTTGAGTAGCTGGGACTATAGGCGTGCATTATCTTCAGTTGTTTTTGAATCTCTGTTCTGTGTTTACTCACCTGCTCAACTTGGTTGGTTGTCTTTGCCTCTTTTTTTTTTTTTTTTTGCCTTGATGTAAGCCATTCATTTAAAAAGATATAGTCATTAGAGGCCAAAACAGGCCTGTATGACTTTTTACTTTGAAATACCCTTCAGAATTACATTAGGATAGACATTCTTTGGGGATACTTATCAATTATCCCATAAACTTAGGCCACATTTGTTATCTTTTCTTCCAGTGCCTGTTTAAAGACTTGGCCTAATATATCACTGAATTAAAAAAGGAATATGTGGGAGGAGTGTGGGCTTTGGAGCTAGATACAGTGACTATAATTCCCTGCTTAATTGCTTACTAGATATTGTGACATATGATAAATTACTTGAGTCTGAATGAAGACTTCCTCATTTTTTAAAATGGTGAAAAATATTCCACTTTGTAGAAGTGGTGGTTAGGAATAAAGTCTCAAAATATTAAGTACTCTGCCTCATAAAAGAAGCTCAAAAATTAGGCATTATTATTGTTAAAACATTGCAGAATTTTCCTAAAGCCTAATATCATTTTTTTTGGTTATTCCTTATTATAAAGCTGATTCCTTAAAAATAGTATTTAAAACATTATCTTTGAAGTTATAGCAAGATTATTAAGAGAAGATTTTTAACTTAATAAAAGGTTTTTACTAAACATTTAGAGCAAGTGTCATATTGAATAATGGTTCCATGAATACCTGGAGCAAGACAGGGATGCCCACATTAATACTGTTACCTGCATTTCTCTGGAAGTCTCAGCCTCAAGGATGCAGTATGTAATATATGATATGATATCTTCAAAAGGTGAAGATACAGTCTGTGAAATAATGTGATCATCTCCTTTAGAAAATAAAAGAAAACTTTACAGATTCTTAGATCAGTATAGTCTAGATAAAAGAGCTCGCCCATGCACTGGAAATTAATGAGTGTAATAGAGAAATGTACATCCCCAACAGTTTTTTAAGTCTACGAATCACCTATAAAGAGCTTCAAAAACAATAAAAAGGAAACTGCAAAAACCAAATCAAAGGGCACAAAAATGATCATTAAATAAATGGAAAAGGCATCATGTTTTTAATGTGAGTGAAGCCTCAGGATTATATGGACGTCAGTTTCCTTCAAAGTAATCTATAAATTGAAAGCAATACTAATTAACGTTTCAAGGATTTTAACATGAAACATGATAATGTGAATCTGAAATTCACATAAAATAGGTATTTCACAACCTTAGAAAAGATGACTTTGTAAAAAAACAATGTAAAGGGGAGTAGTTCTTACTCTCTTAGATATTACAATTTCTACTGAAGCTGAGCATGTACTGCTTGTGAAAAAAACAGGCAAATATATCAATAGAATTGATTAGAGTTTGCCCAAATGTTTATCGATAACTTATATGCTGAGTCCTTTATTATAGGATGCTATAGACTGAATATTTGTGTTCTCCCAAATTCCTCTGTTGAAATCCTAACTTCCAATGTGATGGTATTAGTTAGTGGGTCCTAGAGGAGGTGACTAGGTCATGAGTGAGGAGCTGTTGTGAATGGGATTAATGCCTTTATAAAAAAAACTTTCCCTTCCCTCTTCTGCCATGTGAGGACACAGTCATCTATAAATCCAGAAGCAGGCCCTCACCAGATGCCAAATCTACCAGTGCCTTGATCTTAAGCTTTCCAGCCTCCAGAACTGTGAGAAATAAACTTCTGTTGTTTATAAGTCACCCAGCCTATGGTATTCAGTTATAGCTGCTCAAATGGACTAAGATACAAGATAGGAGGATATCAGTGCTCTTGTAGAACTTAACATTCTAGTGTGAAGTTACAGTTAGAAGAGACCAGTGGAAATTAATCAAGAAAATGTTATTAATACTCTGCAGAGAAGTAAAATAGAGCACCTACCTAGGAAAAGCTGGGTGTTTTATTAGATAGTCAGGAAAGGACTCTCTCTAGAGATTAGTATATAAGCTGAGATAGTTGTGTTTTTTGGCTTCAGCTATGCTAACAGTGAAAGAAGAGTATGACTGCAGAATTTAATGTAGGGTTTTAGTACAAGAGTTCTGTGAGAGAATAACTTTGCTACATTCAAGGAGCAGAGGTAAGTCAAGCCTGGTGGAAACAGCACACGATGGAAACCGTGGTGCATTATGAGGCTGAGGAAGAAGTGGTAGCTAGACCAGGTCTGGTTTTACAGGCCTTGGTAATGAGTTCCAATTTTATCCTGAGTGCAATCAGTAGAAAGCCACTATCGGGTTTTAGACAGAGTGATGTGATCTGATAAAGATTCAAAAAGGATTCCTGTGGGGAATGGATTTTAAGGCAGCCTGCTAGGAAAATCCTGCAGAAACCTAGCGAAGAGATGCTGGTAGTTTGGACTGGGAAAGATGCTGCTGATGGAGAGGAGAAAATGCTGTTTCTGAGACAGAGATAAAAGGACTGCTGTGGTGAATAGGATTTGGAACATTAAAGTGGGGAATCAAGAATACATCTTAGATTTGTGGTTTGATCAACAGAGTTGACAAGAATGCCTAGTGGCAAACCAATTTTTGGAGAAAAGGGGATTAAGACTTCTGATTTAGACATATGGATTTCAAAATCCCTAGGCATCCATGTCTAGAGGGCAAGCAGAAAAAAAATTAAAGGATACCAAAGTTCCAGGGGAAGTCAAGGATAAATATATAGATTAGATAGTCTTAGGCATATAAAATACTATAAGAAGACATGGAACTAGATGAGATTATCTAAAGGGAGAATGAATAGAGAAGTAGAAGGGGCTCTGAAGTGAGTCCTGGAACACTCCAAAGATCAAAATGAAGGCAAAGAATTAAGAGCCAGCAATAGAAACTTAAAAAGAGTGGCCAATGACATGGGGTATAAACCAAGAGAGTTTGGGGTCATGGAAGCCAAGGAAAGAGAATGCTCCAAGAAGAGAGTGATACATTGCATGGGGCATGCCGATGGTCAAGTAACATAAGGACAGAGAAGTGACCGTGCACTCTGGCAACACGGAAGTCATTGTTGACCTTGACATGAGTTGTCTCAGTTGTTCGGTGAGAATGGAACACTGACTAGAGTATAATAAAGAAAAAATTGCAGGTGAGAACATGAAGACATGACTATAGACAACTTTGTAGGGAAAATCATCCAGTTTAAAAAATATTATGGCTACAGTTATTTATTTAGAAAAAAAACAGAATGCTTTTGTTCTACTTTGAGTCATTCACCCACCAAAGAAATCTGACAAATGAATTAAAGATGTAAATGCAATAGTAAAAATTTGATAATATTAGAAGAAAAAATGAGAATATGTTTATAGCCTTGAAAAAAGGCATTTTTAAAAAATTAAGCTTTGAAACACAAATTGTACCATAAAATATTGATTAATTTGAATACAGTAAAGTTAAAAACTTCTGTAGGATAAAAAGCATTGTAAACAAAATAATGAAGTAAGCATTTGGAGAACATACATAGAGAGCATGTATTAAGAGCCAGATTGTATAAATAAATCAAGAAAATGACACAAATTCAGTTAAAAAATATGAACAGGCGATTAACACAAAAGGTAATACATTTAATCAATAAAAGAAGTATGAAAAGATGCACCACTCATTAGTATCCAAGGATATATAAACTTATACCAATTTTAATCCATTATATATATATGGATACAAATGTTGAAAGTTTGATGATATTAATTATCAGTTAGGATGTAGAGCATGGTTTCTCAACCTCAGCACTATTGATGTTTGGGACCAGTTAATTCTTTGTTGCTTTTCTATACATTTTAGTGTAGCAGTATCTGACCTGTCGTCACTAGATGCCAGTGGCACTACTCTCCACTCCAGTTATGAAAACCAATCATGTCTCCAGACGTTGCCAAATAAACCACTGGTTGGAGGGTGATTGTCCCAAGTTGAGAACCATTGATTGAGAAGAAATTATCTGAGGGTAAATTGGTATAGTCATGTAAGAAAACAATCTTTCAGTAATTGCTATAAGGAAAAATATTACACACCAATGCTCCAGTACTTCCAAGTGTACCCAAGGAGGCCTTATACAATCAGATTCACTGTAGCAATGTTTGCCATAGTGAACAATTACAGAGTATATATCTATCAAAAGGGAGTTAGAACTCTGGAATACCATAGATTTCTATGTCTAAAAATCAAGATGTATTATTAAGTTTAAAAAGTTGTGGAAAATGTGTTCTAAATGGTGTATATTGTTAAATATAGCACATCTCTACGCACATAGATATA